GAACCTGAATTTTACATTCTGCACAGCCCAGCTGCCCTCCCCTGGTGGCTCACCATTAGCTTTCAAGTGATCACACTTAGGCTCTGGTCTCATCCTCCTTTAAGGAGGTTTCCTATTTGGAGGATTAGAGGAAGTTTCTGAGAAGTTAAGATAATGGGGCAGGAGAAGATTTTCTGGGATAAAAGGCTTCTAAGGGCTCTGAGAATATGGAGGAGGGACGAGGGGGAAAGAGAAGGGAACTAGATTTTCTTGGTTTGTGTATTCATTTAAGATGAGGGTGACCTTGATTCATAAAGACTTTGCAACCTGATGCTTAATAGAATTGGGTTTTAATATTTATAGCATGTTATGTAAATGCTGCCCCTCCAAGTGCTTCCTTAAATCCTCTTAGCTTATAAATGACAGCTTTGATTTCTAAAAAAAACAAAACAAAAATCTTTTCATTTATCCAGCTTAAGAGTAGTAAACAATAGATGCTTAAAGCCCGCCTTTCATGCCAGGTCCCAAAGACTGAGACTTAGATTCTCAAGAGTTTATCGCCGTGCTTTTGAGCTGATTATGGCCATGCATAACTAAAGAGGGGGGAAAGCTGATGCTACACTATTGGTGCAAAGGCAGCTCCTGGAATTGTGTGTAGCATGTCAGCTCAGCAGTGCTCCACAGGTAAGTTGAAAACACAAAAACTACACATGTGGTCCCTTTGGAATGATTGTTGTTATTTAGTCGCTCGGTTGTGTCCAACTGTAACCCACCAGGCTCTTCTGTCCCTGGGGTTTCCCAAGCAAGAATACTCAAGTTGCCATTTCCTTCTCCAGAGTATCTTCCCTACCCAGGAATTGATTAATGATACTTTTTTTTCTTCTAGTAATCAAGATTGTTCAGTTCAGTTCAGTTGCTCAGTCGTGTCCAACTCTTTGGAACCCCATGAACTGCAGCATGCCAGGACTCCCTGTCCATCACCAACTCCCAGAGTTGGCCCAAACTCAAGTCCATTGAGTTGGTGATGCCATCCAACCATCTGTTGCCCGCTTCTCCTGCTGCCCTCAATCTTTCCCAGCATCAGGGTCTTTTCAAATGAGTCAGCTCTTTGCATCAGGTGGCCGAAGTACTGGAGTTTCAGTTTCAACATCAGGCCTTCCAATGAACACCCAGGACTGATCTCCTTTAGGATGGACTGGTTGGATCTCCTTGCAGTTCAAGAGACTCTCAAGAGTCTTCTCCAATACCACAGTTCAAAAGCATCAATCCTTTGGTGCTCAGCTTTCTTTATAGTCCAACTCTCACATCCGTACATGACCACTGGAAAAACCATAGCCTTGACTAGACAGACCTTTGTTGACAAAGTAACGTCTCTGTTTTTTAATATGCTATCTAGGTTGGTCATAACTTTTCTCCCAAGGAGTAAGCATCTTTTAATTTCTTGGCTGCAGTCACCATCTGCAGTGATTTTGGAGCCCAAAAAAATAAAGTCAGCCACTGTTTCCACTGTTTCTCCATCTATTTGCCATGAAGTGATGGGACCAGATGCCATGATCTTAGTTTTCTGAATTTGAGCTCTAAGCCAACTTTCTCACTCTTTCACTTTCGTCAAGAGGCTTTTTAGTTCTTCTTTACTTTCTGCCATAAGGGTGGTGCCATCTGCATATCTGAGGTTATTGATATTTCTCCCGGCAGTCTTGATTCCAGCTTGAGCTTCCACCAACCCAGCGTTTCTCATGATGTACTCTGCATTTAAGTTAAATAACCAGGGTGACAATACTCCTTTTCCTATTTGGAACCAGTCTGTTGTTCCATGTCCAGTTCTAACTGTTGCTTCCTGACCTGCATTCAGGTTTCTCAAGAGACAGATCAGGTGGTCTGGTATTCCTGTGTCTTTCAGAATTTTCCACAGTTTATTGTGATCCACACAGTCAAAGGCTTTGGCATAGTCAATAAAGCAGAAATAGATGTTTTTCTGGAACTCTCTTGCTTTTTCTATGATCCAGCGGATGTTGGCAGTTTGATCTCTGGTTCCTCTGCCTTTTCTTTCAGATGTTTAAAACCAGCTTGAACATCTGGAAGTTCACAGTTCATGTATTGCTGAAGCCTGGCTTAAGGAATTTTGAGCATTACTTTACTAGCATGTAAGATGAGTGCAATTGTGTGGTAGTTTGAGCATTCTTTGGCATTGCCTTTCTTGGAGATTGGAATGAAAACTGAGCTTTTCCAGTCCTGTGGCCACTGCTGAGTTTTCCAAATTTGCTGACATATTGAGTGCAGCACTTTCACAGCATCATCTTCCAGAATTTGAAATAGCTCTACTGGAATTGCATCACCTCCACTAGCTTTGTTTGTAGTGATGTGTCCTAAGGCCCACTTAACTTCACATTCCAGGATGTCTGGCTCTAGGTGAGTGATCACACCATCATAATTACCTGGGTTGTGAAGATATTTTTTTATACAGTTCTTCTGTGTATTCTTGCCACCTCTCCTTAATATCTTCTGCTTCTGTTAGGTCCCTACCATTTCTGTCCTTTTTTGTGCCCATCTTTGCATGAAATGTTCTCTTGGTATCTCCAATTTTCTTGAAGAGATCTGTAGTCTTTCCCATTCTATTGTTTTCCTCTATTTCTTTGCACTGATCACTGAGGAAGGCTTTCTTATCTCTCCTTGCTATTCTTTGGAACTCTGCATTCAAATGGATTCAAATGGATAAAATCAAGATTGTTAGGGAATTCAAATTTTGTGTAAATGATTTTAGGTTAAATTTCTACTCTAGGACCCTGAGATTGCAGTTGTGCAATGGATGTGAGCTAATGGAACTATGTGTTTGGTGGTGGTGTCAGTCCTTTTCCCTTAATTGTTCTGGGTGACATCAGTTATTCTGTAATTTTTATTTAAAAAAATGTCCCCACTCACTGGGGCCTTCAGATCTCATGCAGAGAAGAGGGAGGAATTTAAAAACTTAAGCTTAACTTTGACAAATGTAAATTGCCAGGTCCTTGGAGGCTGTCATTTGCTCAGGAAATGTTTATTAAGTACCTTCTGTGCACCAGGCTTTTTACATTGCCCTGCAGTAATAAAGAAAAAGTCACAGCTTGTGTCCCAAGACAGTGTTATAAGTGCCGTGAGCTTGGGCTAGAGAACACAGGAAAACACAAGGATAGAAGTCGTTTGTTCAGAAGCAGGGCAGCCCATGAGGAGGGCTCTTCTCAAGTTAATTCGTCTACCAAGTGGTTTGTGCTTACCTATTTCCTTTGCTTTATTTGGGCACAGAGAGCTTTTACATCTGGTCAGATGACACGGGTGTGTTGAATGAGGAGTTATAAGATTGGCACTGAGTTGGGGATGGAAAGGCCGGACGCAGTGCTCAGGCCACTCAGGGTCCTGTCACTGGGTTCTGAGAGTGCGTTCAGATGTACTGTCGGGGCCTTGCTTAGAGTAAAGAAAACAGACAGAACTGGTTTGGTAATATCTGTGTGCACTCATCTGTCTAGCACATCCCTAAGAGCCAAGAAATTCATAAAAGTAATTCAAGCCTTTCTGCACAGATCATCGTTACGAGGGCTGTCCACACTTACATAGCAGGTCTGGAGATCTGATTTCTAAGCTGAGTTGTGGATTTTGAAGGCAGAAAAGGAGAAGAGGAAAGCATTTTTAAAGGAATGGCCCAGTAACAGTATGATAAAATGACAGCTAACACTTTTAAAGTGAGGAGAAAAGAAGATCGAATACTAGAAAAGAAAAGATGTGATCACTCAAAATTTATCACAATCTGTTTCATTTAGCATCAGGTGTGTTAGACTCATGGCAGGGGAGATATCTAAGCTTTCTAGAGTGTAAGATTGAAATCTGAAATTTTGAACTGTTTCCCTGGTAATTCTCATGCAAGCCTGTTTGAGTCTTTCTATGTTACAGACAGTATGGCAATCGATGACCCCTATTCTGCCTTTAGGGATTCCCAGGTGGCCCAGTGGTAAAGAATCCGCCTGCCAATGCCTGCAATTGCAGGAGAGTGGGTTTAATCCCCTGGAGAAGGAAATGACAACCCGCTCCAGTATTCTTGCCTGGAAAATCCCACGGACAGAGGAGCCTGGCAGGCTACAACCTATAGGGTCGCAAAGAGTCGTACACGACTGAGCACAAGCACAATGCTGCCTTTGGAAGACAAAGCAGTGTGTACTCACTCCTAAAATATTCCCAGCCAAAATGTTTAAAATAAAACTTTGTTGCTTTAAGCATCAAATCCTCAGCTCTTGGAAAAACTTGACTCTTTAGAGGAGTCTGTTTCCTGAAAGATTGATGTTTTACTGCATGGGAAAACCACAGCACATAGAAAATAGTAATCTGTATTATGTAAAAAGTCACAGTTACTTTATAAGCAGTAAACTCTTACAGCAGTTTATAAATAATACTTTATATATATTATTCAGTTATAAAATTTTGACTTCCAACTTGCCTGAAACATATCTGAACTGCTGCAGCATTTTGTTTCTGCACCTCTCATTTGCTATTTATTATATTATTATTTAGTTTGCTAGATCATAAATAGAACCCATCCTCCTGGACAGAAAATGCGTTGTTTCTAGCTTCTTGTTCATAGGAAATCCCAATAAAGGTTTATTGAATGACTAGTAATGAAGCAAGTTATACTGAGCTTTCTAATTAATCCTTTTTACCGACAATGAACGTACTTTCTATTATCTTTTCCCTCTTTGTGATTACTCACTAAAATCTTGACGGTATTTGAACTGCATCTGGTGATCAGGGTTGTTGGAACACTTGAATTGCTTCTTTCTGCTTTTGCTTTCCCCTTTCTGAATTAAAAGGCAGAATCAGCATGAGATTTTGAGGAATGTGAATAGGTTAGGGGCTTCAAATGCAGCTCTGAAGTGTGTTCTTGTGGCAGGTGTGTTCTTGCCTTGATGGGGTCACTACGGTGAGGCCGGGGGCCATTGGAGAGGCACGTATCACAGCGTCGAGGGGAGACTCACCTGTGTTCGCTCTGTCTTTGGGCCCAGGTGACTGTGGAGGAGGTCATGACCACAACCGCCTACCTGGACCTTTTTCTGCGCAGCATCTCCGAGCCAGCACTGCTTGAGATCTTCCTCCGCTTTATCCTGTTGCACCAGCATGAGAATGTCCACATCTTGGATACGCTCACGAGCCGAATCAACACCCCATTCCGGGTAAGGAGAGCCCCAGTGGAAGGGAAGTTATGACTCAGGACAGAGTTCAGGAGAGTTTGCTTTTGGAATAAAACTATGAATATTCTCTTCTTTTTATTTCCCCTCCTTTTATTTTCCTTTCAGCCTTTACTTTTCTGTTTTGGAAGAGATGAACTAGATGGTTTGTTTTGCTGTTTGGAGCCCTTCTGTCTGGGAGGCAGAAGTTACTGCCTTTTCTAGACAGCTTTCTCAGTTTGTCTGGGTTGACACTTTCTTCTGTAGCACCTGCAGAATGTGCTTCTGAGGAGACAAGGAATAGGGGATGGGGCTGAAGCTCAGGTAAAGCCAAAGAACTGAAGTATATCCAGTCTGGGTATTAGAGATCATATTTTAGTCCATAAGTGTTTTGAAACGCAAGTCTGGGCATGTGTGAATTTAGGTAGTCATTCTTTAGTTTGGTGCTCTGATTAACTTTGAAAATCCTCTCATACCTTTAGTGTAATCCTTTGCAGCCCTCTCCCCATAGGCTGTCTCTGTTTAATTGCAATTATTGTTTTAAAAGCAAAGGTATATTGGAAGAAAACGAAAACACTAGTTTGCAAAGATCTGTATATGCTAATGGTTATATATAAGCAGCATTATTTGCAATTTGCAAGCTATCCAAGTTATGGAAGCAACCAAACTGTCCATCAACAAATGAATGGATAAAGAATATGTGGTAGGACTTCCCTGGTGGTCCAGGGGTTAAGAATCTGCCTTCCAGTGCAGGGGACACAGGTTCGGTCTCTGGTTCAGGAAGATTCTACATGCACAGGACAACTAATTCTGTGCCTCACAACTGATGATGAGCCCTAGGCGCTCTAGAGACCATGCTCTGCAACAGGAGAAACCGATGCGCTGGAACTAGAGAGTAACCCCAGCTAGAGGAAGCCCTTGCATGACAGTGAGGACCCAGTGTGGCCAAAAAAAGGGAAAAAAGAAGAAAAAAAATAGGAAAAAAAAAGGGGAATGAAATTTTGCCATTTGCAAGAATTTGGATGGACTTGGAGGGCTTTATGCTAAATGAAGCAAGTCAGACAGAGAAACACATGCTGTATAATACCACTTATATGTAGAATTTAGAAAATACAACAAACTAGTAAGTAAAACAGACAAGAAGCTGACTCACAGCTGTAGATAACAAATGTGGTTACCAGTGGTGCGCTGGAGCGCATAGGGGGACAAAGGGATATTATGAAATCATGTGTGAAACTTTTGAAAACTGTAAAGTACTATAGAAGTTAAAGAATTTTTCATTCAATAAAAACAAATCAAAAGCCTCAAAAAAAGTTGATTTTTTGAAAATATTGACAGAATTGACAGACTTTTAGCTAGACTATTAAGGAAGAAAGAAAGAAGAGTCAAATTAATAAAATCAGGATGAAAGAAGGGATGTTACTATTGACCTTACAGAGCTAAAAAGGATCATAAGGGATACTGTGAACAACTGTATGCTAAAATATTGGATAATTTAGATGAAACAGGCAAGTTCTAGAAAGATACAGCCTTCTGAGACTGATTCAAGAAGAAATCAAAACTGTATAAACAAGTAAGAATTCTTGTATTTCAAAGAATACCATCAAAAAACTGAAAAGACAGCTGACACAGTAGGAAGAATCTTTGCAAGTCGTGTCTCTGATAAGATAGTTGTATGCAGAATAACAAACTCCTGGGACTCAATAATAAAAAGACAGGTACAGGGTACTGAGCGCCTTGACAGTGACTTGCCCAGGTTACCATGGTGACATATAGAAAGGACTCAGAATGGGGAAAGGAGATGCTGAGTGGTAATCCTGGAAGAAAGAGAAGATTTCCTAGGAAAGGTGATGCCTAGGGTCAGTCTTGGAGAATAAGGAGGCTTTATCCTGTGGAAGAGACAGAGAAAGGCATTCTAGGCAGAGGATGGAATGTGCAGAGGCGTGGATTGAGTGGAATGAAGTGTGTTGCTTCTGCCTAACTGTAAGGGGTGACCTGTCCTGAGTACAAGAGATGTTTTGGGACTCACCAAGTACAGCTCTTTCTCTGCAGAACTGTTGTGGATTTCACTGACCGGGTTGTAAACTGGTCCTGCCTAGGAGACAGACTAGCGCTTATTCTCCTCTACCAACAATAAGAGCCTCAATTACTGAAGTGGCTGGATAGAATAATAAATGCTTACTGCCCAAAGGGCACAGCGATTTTAGAATGCACCTTTGGGAACCTTCTCTGTTGGGCTCTTTATCCTTCCTTTTTAGAAATCAGAGATGGCAAGAATTCTTTTTTTTTTTTTAATGAGAAAAGTACTTAATGAAATACTTCAGGAGAGTATATCATTATCCCCTCAGCATATGGGAAATGGAACCCAGGAAAATCTTTGCCCCAAAGCCAAGAAACAAACCAAAAGGAGTTGAGGTTTGGGGCTGGTGACTCTAAAGAGAGAGTTGGCCAGGGTATATGCAATTTTCTTTTAGCCCTGTCTTGTGAAAAATCAATGTCATATTTGAAAATAACTAGAAGGGTCTTCTCTGGCACTCCAGTGATTAAGACTCTGGGCTCCCAATGCTGGGGACCTAGGATCTGATCCCTGGTCAGGGAACTAGATCACACATGTTGCAACTAAGACTGTGCATGCCACAACTATTAATACAAGCTCCTGCATGCCATAACAAAGACCCCTCTCAGCCAAATAAATAAATAAAATATTAGGAGAAGAAAATAGGAAAACAAATGATATTAGTAGATCGTGTGTGTGCGCGCGCGCGCGCGTGTGTGTGTGTGTGTCGGGGAGTTGTAGGGGCATATTTATCTGGATCTTCTATGAGCATAGGCATTTTGTAGGAGAGTGATTCTGCATAGTGGCATAATCCCAGGGATAGACTGTTGAATTGAATCCTACAGGAGAACTGATAGTCTGAATACACATTCTGTCTGGCAGCAGCATCTTTAAAAAAAAAAATTAAAACTACTTAAAAAATAAAGGCCATTTTATTCTGATTTATTTACCATCTTTGGGGTTACAAAGGTCCTTTCAGTGTCTCAAATAGAATGTGTGTTTGTTGCTTCCCAGCTTTGTGTGGTGTCCCTGGCCTTATTTAGAACTCTCATCGGTTTACATTGTGAAGATGTGATGTTACAACTAATTCTAAGGTGAGTTGCCACCTTTTGTTTCCTTTAAAGAACAACCCTACACTATTGCTATTTTATTTTCCTTTGGTAATATGAGCTAAGTAAGGACCATGCTTCTAAGAAAGAAAATAATCAAGAAAATCAGCTTAACTAATGCATTGTTGCCCAAGGTTAAAAGTATTTTGGTGGGGGGGGCAAAGGCATTATATTACACATGTGCTCCTGGAAAAAAATAAATAGAATGTTTGGAAACTTTCAGAAGTGTTATGAAAGCTCTTCTGATCTGTAACTGAATGTTTTTCTCCCAAAGTACATTTTTAGGAGGCTCATGTTACTGAAAACAACTCTTCTCAATATGAAATACTGTTGGTGTATAGAAATTGTTCTATGACTTTTGCTTTAGTAATGGTATGGCTACAGTGCTCACTGCCTGACTTGTGAGTGTTTTTCAATTAAATTCGGTAAGTATTTAATGAGCACTTCCTGTGTACAGTTCAGAAGGGCATGGGTGGAGGGACGAACGGAAAAGGACAGCCATGTACACAGGGCAGAAAAGGTCTGTCCTTCAGATGTCCAGGTGGGAGCGGTGTCGCAAAGGGGCTGGGATCCGAAGATGGGCATCTGGAGTCAAAGTGGACTGCCAGCAGGACGACATCAGTTCGGTCGTCGGGCAGGAGACTCAGGAGCACTGCCTCCTGCCTCAGCCCAGCGTGTCCTCCCAGGATCCCTGAGAGAAGCATCTGCTTTTGTGAAGGAAGAGGGTAGACAAAGGCCTGTGCTCCCACACTCCCCTCTGTGATCTGGACGCGATAAGGAAAGAGCCGACCAGCTCACCGGGTGTCTGTGTCACCTCCACCTTCCAGAGACCCTGCTGCTGACCCCTGCTGGGACAGAGGGTGCTGAGAGGAGCCCTGGGCTGCCCCTGGTCCCCACTGCGGTTTAGACACGGTGTGAGCAGGATTACTGAGGAGCTGGCGTTCCCACCGAGCTGGCCCTGGAGAAGTTTCAGTCATGGCCAAGCGTGGTCCTGGAAACAGTGGCAGAGACGTCATCCAGGAACTCATGAAAACACTCATCCTTGGCCGTCTTCTCCCAGGCATGCTGAATCAGGACCTAGTGGTGGGTGGGGCCCGGCAAGCTGTGTTTTACTTAGCTCCAGGGGATTCTGATGCCAGGCTAAGTTTGAGAACTACTGGTTTGAGGAAGGTGCAGTATAGATGTGGCATCCTACAAAAGGGAGCGATGGAAACACCACAGGGGGAGTCAGTGGGTAGCCTGGTGATGGAGGCCTTGCAGAGTCACTGTTTTATAGGCGAATATCACCTATTAATTTTGGACTTTTGGAGGTTTTAGATCAGGCCATCAGTAACTAATCTTAGGGCCTTAGCAAAGAACGGATCTTCTCAGAAGTACATGCCCTGGGTCGTGCAGGAGAGCATTAGTTTTCTGTCCTAAAAGGGTCACCTCTGCTTCACATCAGGCCTCCCCTGATGTGACAGAGTGCATTAGCGGCGCCTGGATGAAATCCGTCAGAGCAGCTTGTTACAGCCTTTTGTTTACTGTCAAAGCCAGACTTTGCTTCCAACAAGGATAAATCCTGGTTATATTTAAACGTTAGGTTCTTGAATGCCGCTTCTTGAACAGCAGAGAAAGCAGCTGTCCTCTGCAGTGGGCCTGGAAGTCTGGCCCCACATCCCAGCCCTGGGTCACCGGGGGAGGCTGAGCCCACGGGGTGGACGCTTCGGCCCCATGGCCATTGTCTACTCACAGGGCGGTGCTTGTGGTAAAAACTGTCCTCAGAGGTCGTATTCGTCAAAGCTTCTTTTGAGAGCCAGATCTGTGCCTTATGAACGTGAAGGAGTCAGCTCGTGATTGAAACCAAAGTCCAAGTCAGTGCTTGGCATTTCCAGGGGAGTAAGGGCCTGCCGTTGCCCAGGAAAGCGCATGGCTGCAGGTGCTGAGCGGAGCCGTGGAGGAAGCGCTGGGTGCAGCCTCTGATCCCAGCACTCCCAGCCCGTTTCTCCCTTGTTTCCTTATTGAGGATGAGGAGGAGAATATAGTAGTAGTTCCCCTTTATTTACTACTTTCTGTACTTCTGATTCTGCCCCATTGCCTGGGGCTCTGAGAAGAATGAGTAGGACAGGTGTAGAGGTTAGCACGCGGTAGACACGCAGGAAACCTCTGCTTCCTATCTTTGTCACCTGATGGCCGATCCACCTCCCACCTCCCATCCCCATTTAACAAGTACTTTTTCTGTTTTTTTAAACTTTTTATTTTGTATTAGAGTATACGTGATTAACAATGTTGTGATAATTTCAGGCAGAACAAGTCTTTTTAATTGTAGTCAAATACACTCAACATTCAAAAAACTAAGATCATGGCATCCGGTCCCATCACTTCTTGGCAGATAGATGGGGAAACAATGGAAACAGTGAGAGACTTTATTTTCTTGGTCTCCAAAATTACTGTAGATGGTGATTGCAGCCATGAAATTAAAAGGTGTTTGCTCCTTGAAAGAAAAGCTATGAAAGCAAAGACATTACTCTGCCAACAAAGGTCTATCTAGTCAAGGCTCTAGTTTTTCCAGTAGTCATGTTTGGATATGAAAGTTGAACTATAAAGAAAGCTGAGTGCTGAAAAATTAATGCTTTTGAACTGTGGTGTTGGAGAAGACTCTTGAGAGTCCCTTGGACTGCAAGGAGATCAAATCAGTCCATCCTAAAGGAAATCAGTCCTGAATATTCATTGGAAAAACTGATGCTGAAGCTGAAGCTCCAGTACTTTGGCCACATGATGCGTACAGCTGACTCCTCGGAAAAGACCCAGATGCTGGGAAAGACTGAAGGCAGGAGGAGAAGGGGACGACAGAGGATGAGATGGTTGGATGGCATCACCGACCCAATGGACATGGGTTTGAGTAAACTCCAGGAGTTGGTGATGGACAGGGAGGCCTGGCGTGCTGCAGTCTGTAGGGTTGCAAAGAGTCAGACACGGCTGAGCAACTGATTTGACCGAGTCAAATACACAGAGCCTAGAATTTGCCATCTTAACCGTACAGCTCAGTGATGCGCGCTCACTGTTGTGCAGCCGCTGCCGTCATCCATCTGCAGAGCTGTTCCCACCTGCGGAAGAGAGCGCTTCTGTGCCCCTTAAATCCTCACTGCCGGCCCCCGCCCCAGCCCCTGGCGGCCACCGCCCTGCCTGCTGCTGCTCTGAATGCGCCCCTTCCGGGCGCCTCGCGTGAGTGGCTCATGCAGTGTTTGTCTCTCTGCGCCTGGTTTAGCTCACTTAGCACAGTGTCTTCAGGAGGCTTTCGTGTTGTAGCGGGTGTCAGAATTTCCTTCCTTTTGAAGACTGAATAATATTCCACTATTTATACCACGTGTCAGTGGACGCTTTGACTTGCTCCCCGCTCTGGCCGTAACGACTAGCACTGCTGTGGCCATAGACATACAGATAGGCCTCTGCGAAACTCTGCTTTCACTTCTTTTGTGTAGATACCCGGAAGTGAAGTTGCTGGATCATATGGTCATTCTGTTTAATTTTCTTTTTTCTACAATGGCTGCACATTTTATAAGTCCACTAGCAGTGCTCAGGGTTCTGGTTTCTTCAGATCCTTGCCAATACTTATTTCTGTTAAACTAAAAACTGTTTTTTAGAAATTTATTTTATTTTTATTTATTTGGCTGCATTGAGTCTAAGTAGTTGCCCTGCGGCATGTGGGATCTTACTTCTTTTACCAGGGATCAAACCCAAGTCCCCTGCATTGGAAGCAGGTTCTTAATGACTGGACCACTAGGGAAGTCCCCTAAAAATGGTATTTTGACAATCAAGTAAAAATGACAGGCAGATTTAAAGAACCAGCTGGGGCTTTTAGAAGTGGAAACTGTAATTATTAAAATGAAAAATGGAGTGTTTAATGAAAATAACATTTAAGATACAGATTAAGAGAGAATCAATGAGATTGAAGAAGTTACTACTAAGTTTGCAGCAGAAAGAGATAAGGAGATTTACAATTGTGAGAACAAGGCTGTGAACAATGGTGGCTGGAATGATAAGGTGTGATGAAAAGGTGTGTAGGTCCATCTAGTCAAAGCTAAGTCATGTATGGACGTGGGAGTTGGACCATAAAGAAAGCTGAGTGCCGAAGAATTGATGCTTTTGAAGTGTGGTGTTGGAGATGGCTCTTTGAGAGTCTTGAACTGCAAGGAGATCAAACCAGTCACTCCTAAAGGAAATCAATCCTGAATTGGAAGAACTGATGCTGAAGCTGAAGCTCCAATACTTTGGCCACCTGATGTGAAGAACTGACTCATTGGAAAAGACCCTGATGCTGGGAAAGATTGAAGGCAGGAGAAGGGGACGACAGAGAATGAGACGGTTGGATGGCATCACTGACTTGATCGACATGAGTTTGAGCAAGCTTAGGGAATTGGTGATGGACAGGGAAGCCTGGCATGCTATAGTCCATGAGGTTGCAGAGAGTTGGACACAGCTGAGCGACTGAACTGAACTGAGTCCCTCTTATCTTCGGTTCTGTTTTCCAAGGTTTCAGTTACCCATGGTCAACCATGACTCAGAAATATTAAGTGGAAACTTCTGGAAATAAACAGTTCATAGGTTTTAAATTGTGTGCTGTTCTGAGTAGTGTGATGGAATCTCAGGCCTCCCCTCCCTGGATCCCCAGTTATTGACAGAGTCTGCCCCTGATATCCAGCCATCGACATCCTCATGGCTCAGTGATCCAGGATCACCTTAAGTACATGTGCATCCTTTGTCTTATGTCAGAAGGTCAGTAGCGGCCTGAGCGTCCGTCACAAGGCTGACATCATTCACCTCACTTCACACCATCATGTAGGCATTTCATCATCTCAGGTCATCACAAGAAGGGTGAGTACAGCACACTGGGATACTTTGAGAGACAGACTACATTCACGTAACTTTCATTACAGTACATTGTTATAATTGTTATATTTTATCACCAGATACTCCAAAAATGGATCCATGAGCTAAAATGTGTA